CCTCGGGTGCCCTGGCTTCACAGGCAGTGCCCTGCACCACCTACTGACCAATGAATCGGCGTGATCAGCCGGAACCTGCTCCCAGCTGCCACCTGTCCCAGCGCACCTGCCTCCCGCTGCCTCACGCTCCCCACTGCCCCACTGCCTCCGCCCACTGTAGTCTTCTGCCCCCCACCTGCCCGTCGCCTTGCCTGTCACGATGTGTCCCCCACAGACATCACCAAGTTAGTTGTTTGTCATTTAAAATCTCTTTCTAAATGGGTGAGTCAATTCACAGGTATAGATACAGTATTTTGTGTTGTTTTAAAATATATATGACATGCTATCTGAGATTAAATAATTTTATCTAACACAATGCCTGCATGTAGTGGCTACTTCAAAAAAAATAATAATAATTAACCTGATTAGCACGTACCTCACGCCTTAATCCTAGCATCGAGCCCAGTAGGTGATTGGCCGATCAGGAGTTCGAAACCAGCTGAGCAAAGAGTGAGATCCGTCTCTACATAAATAAAAGAATAATTGGCCAACTGAATATACAGGAAAAATTAGCCGGCTGTGCGCAGCTGTAGTCCAGCTACTTTCTCCTCGTGAGCTGAGGCAGGAGTTGCTTGAGCCCAAGTGAGGTGCTGTGAGCTAGGTACGCCACGACACTCATCTAGCTGGGCAAACAAATTGAACTCTTCTCAACAAAAAAACAAACAAAAAAAAAAAATTAATATAGATATAGTATCTATATTTTTTAAAAGACCAGAGCCAGAGAGAGAGAATAAAAGTAATGTATGAGGCAGCACAGAGAACGCCCCGCCGCACAGGCGAAACCCGTCGCAGAGGCTCAGGGTCCCTGGCGCAGGGTCCACTGCTGTGAGGGCCACAGTCGGGCGCACCCAGAAGGAAAGCGCGTCTGGCGGTTGCAGGACATGCCGTCTGAGGACGGTGCTTGGGGCTACGTTGAAATTTCTAAATGCGCACCCGTAGCCTGCTCTGGCTGCCCGCTGATGAGAGGAAAGCGAGGCCTGAGACAGACCGGCCTGCAGCGTCACAGTTTGCGAAGGACAGCGAGCGGGGACGCCTGCGCTGACGGGATGGGGACAGCTGGCCGGCTGCACGGGGGACACGTCCTCCTCCAAGGACAGGCGTGTGCCCACTCCAGGCCGCCACGGGAGAAGCTTGTGAGGGGACCGTGTCCTGGGTCTCCGGCCACGTGGGCGAGACCCCAACCCTGAGCTAGAGACGCCCTGGCCACCGCCCGGCTCCCGCTGTGGGCACAGCTCCTGTCCTAGGGAGACCCCCTCGCCCCGGGGGGTGACAGGTGCCACGAGGAAAACTCAAGCAAGAAAGTCTCCCGAATGGGCAGGGCCCCCACGGGCCTGCCGGGCCTTCTCGAGCTGCTGCAGAGCTCTGCAAGGAAGAAGAAGAAACCTGGAGCTCCGTCACAAACACAAAGCACACGCCGGGCGTGGGCGGACGCCTTCCCCCCCGCGGGCTGCACGCCCGTCCCATTTCTACACGAACTGCAAAGCTGGATTCACGGCATCAAAGGAGAAAAGCAAAGCAACAAAAAGGCTTGCTGCTGACAAAAGCGTTATCAACGGGAGGCTTCGCTTGGGAGCGTTCAGAAAGCAGCGGTTTGTGAATTTCTCTTGTATTTCAAAACACAGAATATTTCCAGAATTTGGCATCAGTGCTTCGTCTTTTTGGGTGGGGGGTAGAAGAAGGGGCCGTCCTCACAGACCCGCAGGCCCAGGCCCAGGCCCAGGCCCTGCCCGGGGGCCGGCCGCTCGCCCGGGTCGGTGCAGTTGCGCAGCTGCTGGTCCTCCTTGGTGAGGCAGAGCTCTATCTGCCCCAGCGTCTGCACCGCCTCTCCCTGAGAGGGAAGAAAGGAGAGGCGTTTAGGGTTCAGATCTTGAATTATCATCGAGGTTTTACGATTATGCAGCGCCAGAGCTAACTTGAAGATAAGCAAAGCAGAGGCTCCAGCCCTAAGATTCCAGGCTCCGGGAACAAGCCCCCTTTGTTTAACAGAAGGGGCGCTGAGCGGGGACAAGTGGCCAGAGGTGACTCCGCTGTGGGCAGTGGAGCCCGGCCTGAGGCTCGGGTCTCCTGCCTGCCACCACTGGAGGCTTGTGAGGGGCCCTGATCTTATCTTGGAGAACATGAACTAGCAGTTTGTGCACCTGCACCCAGGCACAGCCGCGCGCGGCATGCAGACCAAGGTACTGGGGGAAGAAGTAGCTTTTGCACGTAAACAGGCGACTAGCACCCTACAGACACAACTGCACACACAGCATGCAGACCAAGGTCCTGGGGGAAGAAGTAGCTTTTGCACGTAAACAGGCGACTAGCACCCTACTGCCGAGAGAATGTAAGTATCAGCTGATAAAAGAGATTTTGTCTACAAATTGGACAGATAACCACGATTAAAATTATTAACATAAGCAACATAAAAACTCAGCAATTTTCTAGCTGAGAAATGTGTAACCCGGCCGGGCGCGGTGGCTCACGCCTGTAATCCTAGCACTCTGGGAGGCCCAGGCGGGCGGATTACTCGAGGTCAGGAGTTCGAAACCAGCCTGAGCAAGAGCGAGACCCCCGTCTCTGCTATAAATATAAAGAAATTAATTGGCCAACTAATATATACAGAAAAAATCAGCCGGGCATGGTGGTGCATGCCTGTAGTCCCAGCTACTCGGGAGGCTGAGGCAGGAGGATCGCTTGAGCCCAGGAGTTTGAGGTTGCTGTGAGCTAGGCTGACGCCACGGCACTCACTCTAGCCTGGGAAACAGAGCGAAACTCTGTCTCAAAAAAAAAAAAAAAAAAAAAAGAAATGTGTAACTGTAGCGATGCACCTTCTCCCTTCTCCACTTTCCATCTGGAACGGGTGCAGTCTTATCAGGAATAAGCAAGAAAAGAAGCCCTGCCCTACCCGGCACAGTGTCAAAGAACCATGCCCATGCACACACACGGCACACACTTGCATGCACACACATACACAAGTGTGCCTGGGCACACATGTATGCACATGCCAACATACATGGACACACACACATCCATGTACACACATGCGACTCTGCCCTAGGAAGCCACGGTGAAGCCAAAGCTGTCAGGAAAGGACAAGTTGTCTCCTTGACAAAGACGGGCAGGGGACCGAACTCTGACCTCTCTCGGCGGAAGGCACTGGAGTTTGGGCACCACTCCGTACACTCTGGTAAGCGCATCTTTAAAATCTCCAACCTGGCATCAAATAAACGTGAGTTAGAAATGAAACTCCAGCAGAATGAAACCTGACAGTCCCGGCCTACCCAGAACGTGACATTGGCAAACATGAGCAGCCGCAGCGTCCTGCTCTCCCTGAGCCGCGGCTGGCAGCAGAGACGGCTCCGCGTGGCCGGAGGAGGAGCTGTGAAGGGCAGGAGAGGACGCGCCAGCCCAGGCTCCTCCAGCCACCGGACCACGCGCTGCTCCCTCCCCTCCCGCTTGTCCCTCTGCAGCCCATCCCCGTCCCCCAGAACTGGCACCTACGCGCCACACGCCGCTGCCACCCTCACCAACTGACTCCCATTTCGTCTTCCTCGGCTCCCAAGGCTCTCTCAGCCCTGTCCACTCCAAATCTCTGTCCCCTCTCCCATCCCCACGGGCAACTCAGGTCCCGCTGTGCAGGAGAGGCCACGGGACACGTGCCTCCCGCCCCGACCTGCAAACTCTGACCCGCTCCGCTCTGTAATCCCCACCACCACGGTCTCCACTCTCACGTCGTTCAGCCGAACCTCCCAGGGGGACCCTGCGTCCCCTCGGGCTCTGCAGCCCAGCTCTGGGGGTGCCACACCTGGCAGTGGCTCTAGACGATGCTGCTCCCTCTGCAGCTCCCACAGCACCCACTCCCGGACCACCCCCCTGCCGGCTGTAATTCCTTCCCCGCCTCCTGTCTCCTCCTCCTCACAGTTGAGTCCCCACTGCCTGACATGGGAGGCCTTCTCCCCCACCCCACATCGTCCCTTGCCACCCGGGCCTGTCTTCCTGGACCTTGCAGAGACCTCAGATTCAAACCGTGCAGGCTGGATCCCATCATCCTCCCCCACCCAGTTCCCAATGCCAACAAATGTCACTCCATGGAGATCCAGGGCAGGACCAGGCACGGCCTTCCCTCTGCCATCCCCCACCTCTACAGCCACGTCCAAGCTCCGCAAACCAACCCCTCCTCGCCAGCTGCATGCTCAACGGCCCAGGTCAACCCTCTCCACGAGGCCTCCTTGGAGGCTCTGGGTCCCCGTCTCCCCCAGCACCAGGCAACCACGGCAACAGCACTCGCCCTGCCCGGGGTGCAGCGCCGGGCCCACGCTCCCACTTTGCTCCGTCCAGCCCTCCTGCTCCGCTCCTGAGCGCCTGGAGAGGGGTCTGGGCTCCTGGCCTGGCCCGGCTTCCCCCTGCCCCGCCACTCCTCCCGGTGCCGGCACAAGCTCATCTCAACGCCGGATTTCCCAGGAAACATCTGGTTAGGCAGCTCTCCTGGTGCTCCCGCAGCACTGATTGCCCCGAGACAGATGAGTGGACCGACCAGTGGCTGGAAGCCGGATGCAAAAGCAGGAAATCGGATGATAACTCTTAGTTACCCGTCCATCAGGCTATTTCTGACCAAGTGCACACAGCACAAAGAACCAGCTGGACAAATGTGTCGTCACGGTTGCTGTACGGTCTTTGAGTTCCAGGCAGAAAGGCAAAGCTCACCCTCCGTATCTATGTGCAAGCGAGCCCACACGAGGACGGGGCCCTGCAGACACGCAGCGCACGGCTTCCCGGAAGGGCTGGGAAGAGCAGCTGGTGGCTCCTCCCTCAAGGCCACTGGCCCTGCACACCCCACTCCCCACGGAGGAGAAAAAGATCAACTGGAAAACCCGCCACGCAGCCGAGCACACGCCGCTGGGAGCAAAGACGCGGCTGCTGATTTATTTCACAAACTGTCAAGGGACCAAACTACTGGTCCGTGTCTAGCCAGGACCCCAGAACTGCCGTACTGCTAGGGTCGGTGACTTTCACCCCTTTATTAAATCCACGCCCTGTGATCAATACAAAAGTCGTCCCACAGCGCCTGATATGTTTCTCACAGAGGGGACGCCACCCCAAGGGCCGCCTGTGAGCCGGCGCGGCCGTCTCCACAAGAGCAGGCAACTCGCAGTGGAGAGCAGCCGCCGCGCTCTGCACGCCCCGGCCAGCCGGTCAGCCGGGGTCTCGCTTAAGCTCCTGTGCTTGCATCCTGCAGCTTCACCAGGGAACCGATCACAGCTCTCTCATGAAAACACAAAGCAAACGCGTCTTGCCCTCGAGCACAACACTGCAGCGTCATAAAACCGAACGTGCCTGTTTGAGGCGCACGCTCCACCCGCCCGCTGGCCCCCGGGCACACGCCGCTCCCCACGAGGCTGTGAACCTGTGCTCCGAAGTCAGCGGTCTAAGGAGCCTCCAGTTTACAGCCGGCGTGCGCGGGGAAGCGAAGCCGAAATACGCCCTGTCGAAAGCACAGACGTTCAGAAGCAGCAGGGCCGGGGCCGGGTCCCCGCACAGCCCAGCCGTTGCTCACAGGAGGAAAGGGCACTTGTGCAAGAGCCATTTGACACTCGAGACACACATCAGAGAAGAAGCAAAAGCGAGACTCACCTGGTAGTAATTGATAGACGGTGTTATCCCCAACTTTAGGAGAACACTAAAATTTAAATTAAAAAAAAAATCAGCTGTATCATGGAAGCCCACTTTCCTGTATTGTTCTTTTCAAACAAATATTTCATAATAAAAATTGAGACACTCTTAAAGTACTTTTTCCCTATTACTTTAGGCACTGATACTGGTCAACAAGGACGGCACGTCAACGGCTCCCAGGTCCCCCTTCTTCCCGCACCCCGAGCACACCCTGACGCTGCTCTGGGCACGCTCCCCGGGGTCCTTGCACAGAATCTTCTCAACGGGGACCACAGCTGCCACTACGAGCTGCAGCTGCACACACAGCTCACCTACTTGCCACGCTTGTTGTGAAGATGTTAGCGATTGATTTGGGATCCTAAGCTTGCCCTGGAAGACTGCATTTGGTCAAATCTTTTAAACACAGTCATGTACCACGTGGCAACATCTGGCCAACAACGAACCGCAGGGACAACTGTGGTCTGGTGGTCTCCTAAGATGATACTGTAGTTTTACCGTGTCTGGCTATGCTTAGACACACAATACTCACCATGTGTGACATTTGCCTACAGTGTTCAGCACAGTCACACACCGGGCAGGTTTGCAGCCCAGGAGCAACAGACTACACACACAGCTTAGGCATGTAGAAGGCTGTACCATCTATGTGCAAGTACACCATGTGGTGTTTGAACCATGAGATCCCCTAACGATGCATCTCAGAAGGTATCCCTGTCCTTAAGTGGCACATGACTGTACCTTAAACACCTACAGCCTCGAATTGTTCCCTAAAGCTCTGCTACGGAGAATCCCATCGAGTAGGAACTCACTAAATTATGCAGGTACCACTGCTTCTCGGCCTTTTGGCTAAGATCAAGTGTAGCATTGAATGACAGAGGCCCCATGTAACATTCTCAGGTTAATTATTCCAAAAGAAGACTCTGTGGTCTCCCATCAAGCCTTTCCAGATCATTCTGGATTGTGACCACACAGAGGCCTAGGCTGCCTCTCTGGGCTAACTTGTCATCAGTCGGTCTCTGCTGTGGAGCTCCTGGAACGAGGAGGAAAGAGGTAGGCAAGGGGCCTGTGAGCCCCAGACGTCCCCAGACCCGTGTGAACTTGACCTTGTGCTGTCACCGTGGAGTAAACAACAGACTTCAAAGACTTTGTGGCAAAAGAGAATGTAAAATATCTCAATAATGTTTTTATATTTATTGTAAGTTGCAATGATAGTATTTTGGATATATTGAGTTAAGATATATTAAATTTATCTGTTTTTTGTTCTTTTTAATTTCACTACTATACAATTTAAAAAAATCTCTGCGGCTCACATTATATTTCCATAGGGCAGTGCCCTCCTGACCGAGGTAACTAAGGAAGTAAGGCAGAGGGAGAGACCTGGGCAAGTCTGCAGCTGGCCCAGGGCACACTGCATCATGGTTTCTACGAGTTAAGAGCAGCTAGGCATTAACCCCTGGGTCTCTTTCTGTGGGTAACCTAAGAGATTTGCTTTGAGACATTTTGCAGTTTTTCAGGTTCGTAGCCTTCAGGTTATAAAGCAAATAAAAAATTACAGCTGACAATAATTTGACAGGCTGACCCATGGAAGAAAAAGATATGTACTAACAGTCCATAAAGAAAAATCAGTGGTCTTATGGAAAGTGGGAGAGAACCTAACTTTTCTATACTTGTTCTTTTCAGTTCTTAGCAAACACAACGCTGCCAGCAGTGCTGCTGCCTCAGCAGGTCCTCAAGGAATGCTTGCAGAATGAAGGAAGGAAGGAAGGAAGGAATGAGCAGAGCTCAGCCCCCGAGGGCAGGGCAGCACCAGTCTTGCCGACACCCACAGGGACTCCAGGGCTACCCGCACTACCTGTGAGCATGTACACACCTGTCTTAGTCCCTTCAGTCTTGCTATACAGGAATGCTCGAGGCTGGGTAGTTTATAAAGAATAGAGCTTTATCTGGCTCTCGGGTCTGCAGGAGTAAGCAGCTGGCGCCAGCGTCTGCTCGGCCCCGGTGAGGGCTTGGGGGCTGCAGCGACTCGGGCAGAGGCAGATGGGGGCAGAGCTGCAGAGATCACACGTTGAGAGGGGGGCTAGGCTCCTTCTAACAACCCGCTCTCGTGGGAGCTGATAATTACCCAAGGACAGCACCAAGCCATGCAGGAGGGGGTCCAGATCTGCCCCCATGGGCCAGACACCTCCCTCGAGGCCCCACGTCCAACACGGGGCATCAATTTCAACATGAAGTTTGCTGGAGACAAACTGTGTCCAACCACAGCAGTAAAGCTACTGAGTCTCAAAAAGTATAAATAGGAGCTGCTTAATAAATATGGATTAGATAAAGAGATAAATTAATTTAGACAATGCATTTTAAAACTTTTCAGCAGTACCCACTTCTCCCTTTTTCTGTTTGATTAAATGAATCCGGTGGCAGAGTTAAGAACTCACACTACGACGTAGAGGTTTGGGGCAGGATGGGACCACGAGATCCACATTTGGAGACAGAGGGCATGTTCCCTGTCTCTCCAAAGCGGTCCTACCCTGTCGTCTTCCAGCGTAGTATTAATCGCACGTCTCCTGCACTCCAACAGCCTCGGCATCCTCCCAGTTAATCCTTATTCTGACTTCGGAAGTGCTCATCACACGCACCTTTTAGGTGAGGAACCGTCTCCTGAAGTATTGCTCCTACTACAAGAAAACGCTGTGTGCTGCTCTGCGAAAAGCCTGCAGATTGTGCAGACCAAATCATGTATACCGCAGACACACAAGCCATATGCGAATCAAATATACAGGGTCTGCGACGTGTCCCTGCTGGCGCAGCCTTCTTGGCGTACGCGCTTAGTAACGTGCAATTTACGCCAGAGGAGACCCAGGGCGGGGAGTGACCCGGTCACTTCCTTCACAGCATGGAAACAAGACCCAAGGCTAGATCGCCAAACTGCACAACTAGCTCGTGTCAGAACCGTGCTCGCAGGGACAGTTCAAGCTGGGAGCTCTGAAACGGCGATTTCAAAAATTCATTTCCAGGGCGCTCTTTGATTTGTAATCGAGACATCCCCAAAGACCTTGTCCCCTCCTGTACAGCGCCTGTGACCCAGCTGGTCCAAACCCCAGCCCTGAGACCCCCTTCGATCAGAATGACACGGGAGACCCTCTGCAGGAGACGCTGCTGGGTGTGGAGGAGGCAGAGCACGAGCCCGGGGAGCCGGCAGAGGTTTATTCCTCTTTCAAGCAGATCTGACTCACACAACTTGAATACGCTTGATTAGCAAAGGCTCCTGGCGTTATTCTGATTTGAAGCGGAACTGCTCTGAGACGAGCTGTATAAATCACAGGCAGCGAGGAAAAGGCTGCACAATCTTCTGTCGTGTGTTTTTACAGCTGGTTCACTGGTTTATCATGACCCCTGCAGTGAAGGTCGAGGAGAAACAGAAACGTCGAGAGAGGGGAAGGCGAGGGCTCGTCCAGAGCGTCCTGGGAGGCCAGACCCTGCCAGGCCATGGCCCTTGTTTCACAAGCTCACTGGGTGAGTGGTGACAACATGCTCCCCGCCTCTGGAACCAAGGTGAGGGCAGGCAGGGGTCAAGTTCATGTGGGTTTGAGCAAGTTCCAGGGCTTAAAGGATCCCTGCCCACCACCTCCTTCCTGCCTCTTCTAGGAGCTCTGCAGCAAAGATCGAAAGACTTAACCTGTCTGTGAATGCAACATGCTTTGCCAGAAATGATGGCTAAAAAGGGCACGCCCTTGTCAGCGTCCCCATGTACCCCAGGGCCAGCTCACTATACAGCTCACTGTCTGACGTCAAGTTGGTGCCCAGAGAGGCAGCCTAAGTCTTTGCACCCACTGTGTGGTCATAATCTGGAATGGCCCAGAAAGGCGTGGGAAGCCTAGAACATTCCCAGGAAGGATTCCATGAGCTCTGTTCCAAGGCGCCCAGCTCCCGTGACAGGGCGGTCTGCGTGGGCAGCGTGCTCGACCCTCGTCCCCCTCGATCCAGCCCTCAGGCTGGAGAGAGCGCCAGAGCTCCCAGCAGCTGGGGACAGAGGACCTGCTGGAGGGGCACACGCACCTGCTGAGGTCCAGCTTCTGGTACAGGGCCAGACTCTTGCCAAAGTACTTCTTCTGGGAGTCGAGCGCCTCCACCTGTGCGGCGCAGGTCCCGTGCTTCTCCCACTCGTGCTTCCTGCGAGGATTTTCAGAAAAAAACCTCCAGTTAAAAGTAATGAAACTGATGCACAATAAGACATTTTCAAACGTGTTTTCTCTTAGCACAGGCTATGACATGCAGTAGGCGTGTCATTTCTCTTACAAAGTGGGAAGGACAAAATTCCGTCTTTGCAACAGGCAATTATGCTGCCTACGGTTAGATAATCGGTTCCAATTCACTTCTGCAGTTAACAGCTCGCCCGGTTAACAACAAATCCAAGCTGAGAAGAAAGAGACGGCCACGGCTGCAAGGCCACTGATCCACGAAGCAACGCGTGGTCTCCTGCAGGCTGGAGGGTCACAGCCACGGAGTTTCACGGTGGCACAACCGTCGTTCCTAAGCAACTGGCCCAGAAAAGGGGGGACATCTAGCTACTGAGAAATGCCTCCGGTCCCCTCCCCGTCTCAGCTGCCACAACCACTGCAACGCACACGTCCCTTCCACAGGTGACGATGGTGAAAGCAAACAGCCTAACCAGAGGGCTGCAAAGGAACAGCAATTTGGATTCCAGAAACACGTGGGCACTGATACTCGCCTACATGTTATTGCACATTAAAGTTTTCCAGAAATCTTCCCCATTCTTCACTTGGTCCTCCCAACACTGCAAGGTGAGACTATTATCCCTAGTTTGGAAAGGGGGAAATTGAGGCTCACGAGGGCTGAGTGCCTGGCAGAATGAAGGTCACACAGCCAGGGCGTCACAGAGCCTGCCCTGGAACCCACTCTCAGTCACAGGCCGGGGCCCTTCCCGTCCCACTGCACCCCCATCCCGCCAACTGCCAAACAGGACGTGCTCGGTCGGGATGGCTGGACTTGTCACTCAGACGCCAACCGTTGCTGGCATGGACAAAACGGCATCAGGTTTGCTCAGCGTATCGTCAATTAATTCATGCAGTTTTAATAAGTGACATTCATGCAGCCATTTATAAAGCACCTGCATGCAGTCTCTCAGAAACAAAATCTAAATGTGCATTAACTCACGGGCAAAATCCAATCCACAGTACCAGTTTTAAATAACCACAAGGGATATAAAACTCTCAGAGTAAGAAATCTATAAATTAAACACAAGAAGGGTACAGGTGGATGAATAACTGCATTTCTTCATCTAGAATAGTTCCCAGAGTGAATTACTTGATTTTTAAACTAATTGAATTATTAACCTGAATAATAGGTGACTTAGTTTCTATAAAACAGGAATGATGATTCTGGAACCTGCTCCACAGATTTACTAGGAATAGTGAGTAAACATGCAAAGCACTTGTACACAAGCAAAAATAGTTCTTAGCTAACAACACCCAGTAAATGTCAATTATTATTATTTCTAGAGCAAGCTTAACTCAATAGATGCTGGAGATAAGAATATATTAAAGTATTGATATTAATGTATTATAGTTCAAAACATTGAATCATACATCATTTGGAAATGGTCATTTTTTTTATTTACCATCAAAAGTGTCAGATACCCATCTGAAGTGATTGGGTGTGTCACCCCATACTTAGGGGTGCCCCGGCTGCCCACGGAGCGTTCCAATGTGAGGCTGCGTCGTCAAAACCAGCAGGACCCAAATATGGTTCTTTTTCTTACAATCAAAAAACAAACCCAAAAACCCTACTTTGCAAAGGGCTGTGTGCATAATATTTTTCAAAATGGCTAATCAGGCCGGGCGTGGTGGCTCACGCCTGTAATCCTAGCACTCTGGGAGGCCGAGGCGGGCGGATTGCTCGAGGTCAGGAGTTTGAAACCAGCCTGAGCAAGAGCGAGACCCTGTCTCTACTATAAATAGAAAGAAATTAATTGGCCAACTAATATATACAGAAAAAAATGAGCCGGGCATGGTGGCACATGCCTGTAGTCCCAGCTACTCGGGAGGCTGAGGCAGGAGGATTGCTTGAGCCCAGGAGTTTGAGGTTGCTGTGAGCGAGGCTGATGCCACAGCACTCACTCTAGCCTGGGCAACAAAGTGAGACTCTGTCTCAAAAAAAAAGGCTAATCTTAGGGAATTTTCTTGAATACCAGGTAATACCAAGACACCCTACTGTGCATATTTGCTTCTATTTGAGATTAAAGATAAAAGTTCTCAGACAGGCCCCCCCCTCCCCAGTGACAGGATCTGGGGTGGTGACCTCCAAGGACACCCATGGGCAGCGCTGTGGGTGACCTGAACAATGAGGACACAGCTTGGTGACGGTGAGGTCACAGCTTGGTGACGAGGGAGACAGCCCAGACAGGACCCCTCGGACCTGCCGTTTTGCACTTGGAACGCTCGAGAGTCTAAGTGTTAATTAGTGTGTGAGATTTATCTTTTTCATTTAGAACAAAAAAGTTTTTTAAGTATATAATTCATCTATTCAACCTGAAAAATTTTAGGTAAATCATTTTGCCTTTATTTTAAGTAAATTTAAGGTAAATTAAGGTAAATCGTTTAGGTAAATCATTTTAAGTAAAATGTGACTGACCCCATTCTAGAATACTGCAACAGCTGGAAAAATTATACTTCGTACACTTAGCTAGCACAGAGTCACCATTTGAGGTACACCGTGAATTGATACCTAAATGTTTTTTCCTGTTTTCCTCCTCTTCAACTCATTATGACCATTATCTGTTTTGAAGCCACTGTTTTGAACACAGGCTGTGCAGAACAAGTGCTTTAGAACCGAACCATTTGCCAACCCCAATTTTCATTAAGAGTGGTTCTCTTTGATGAAGTGGGATTTCGGTTTACAAATCGGGGTCAGTGAATCCTAAAACCACGTCCCTGCCACAGACCCTCTAGTGAAACTGTCACACTGAACAGTGATGAACCAGGAAGAGGGACATCATTTTCATTCCATCTTGTTTTAAAAAGCTTTTTTTCTAAACTTAACTTTTAATTTGCCTAAAGATTGTACACAAGAAAACATTTCTAGATAAATTAACTTTCCGGGGGCAAAGTATGATTACTTGTAATCTCGATCCTAAATTGCCACATTGGCGTTAGATGGAGAAAAATAAAGAATCACCTTCAGTTAACAAAATGTAAATAAAAGGAGCATCAATTTTATCTACCTAAAAAGCAGGATTTTAAAAGCTGTCTGGAATTAAACACAGCATTTTGCCCGAGCTTGGCTCCTGCTACGCTCAAGGAGTTTTCACTATGAGAGACGAGGACTCAGGGGACCCTAAATCACAGGAAGGACATCATGACCTGAACAGGTGTTGTCTTTTTTCTTAACATACTTCAAGACAGCAGCACAGTTTCCATAAAAGAAATATTCCCTCCTGTCTGATTTGGACTAATTCTTAGATATGCAAGAATCTGACTTTGTTAAACCTCAGTAGAGAACATTTTTAAAGCAAAGTGATACATGAAACAGCACATAGATTAGAAAGCAGGTTTCTCCACTGGATAGAAAAAACACCCTCATTTTTTTAATCCATTGCAGAAAGGCACCAAAATGGCATAACAGCATCATTTCTAGATAAAAAGCTGCTCAAACTGCTCAGCATCAGGTTCTCCGTGTGTTATCTTAGAACACGCTCGGGGCACCCCACCTGTCCCGGGCCTTGGGGTGGCTGTCGCAGGCTCACACTTACCAGAACTGGCTGCGATTAGGGGACGGATGAAGCACATCAGGCCAGTAGGTCTTCATTTCTGGCAGAAGATCCTACGTATAATAATAATAATAATAATAATAATAATAATAATAATAACAACAACAATAGTCTATGCAGGACCTAGTAAACTCAAAACAAAACCTAGAAGGCAAATTTGATAAACATATACATTCAAAGAATTGAGCTCTGCTAATTGACAACATTAGGAAAGTAAAATGATTCTGTGCTTATTCTACATGAAATATTTAAGATACATCTAAAAGTGAAATTAGGCCAGGTGTGGTGGCTCACGCCTTGTAATTCCAGCACTTCAGGAGGCCAAGGTGGGAGGATTGCCTGAGGCTAGGAGTTCAAGACCAGCCTGGGCAACATAGTGAGACCCCCGTCTTTACAAAAAAAAAAAATAAAAGTGGTGGTGTGCACCTGCAGTCCCTGCTACTCAGGAGGATGAGGCAGAAGGCTCGCTTGAGTCTAGGAGTTGGAGGGTACGGTGAGCTATGATCTCACCACTGCACTCCACCCTGGGTGACAGAGCAAGGCTCTGCCTCAAATAAATAAATAAAACAGTGAAATCTGAGCAATCGTAAAACTGCAGCTCTCATAGTGAATGGGTAAACTGTAGACAGGAGTAGAGTCAGCGACAAAAACCGATGAGCTGTCAAGGAAAAGGAAGCCAACTGCCAAGGAAAAGACACCAGTCTGAGAAGCACCCACACCGTATGATTCCAACCATATGACGTCTCGGAAAAGGCAAAATCTTAAGAGACAGCAATGAGATGAGTGGTTGCCAGGGGCTCAGGGGAGGCAGAACAAGTGGGGGTGGGTGCAGGGGAGCTCCCCCGGGTGACGCTTGTCTGAAGATGTCAATGATATGGCGAACTTGAGGGAAAAGGGAGGAACTGTCTGTATTTTCCATACAAGTTTTCTGTAAACCTAAAACCACTCTAAAAGTAACACCTATCGAACAAACACACCCAAGCCCTCCTTGCCCCAGAGAAAAGCTTGTTGGAGTGGCCTGCGCCCTCTCGTGCCGTAAGGATGGTCACCCCAAATCCAATGTCCACACACCTGCTAGATCAACAAGATTCAACCCCACCAGCCGTCAGTAACTCAACCCCCTGCCCTGTGGAGTGGGCACAGCCCCCTCCTCTTCCTCCTGCCCCCAGGCAGCCGTCCTCCTAGCCTTCTCCTCACACCCACCTGCCTCACCTGCCTCCGGCCGCATTCCGACTCCAGAGCCCGGGGGAAGACCTGGGGGATGGTGTGATTCACCCCGCACCAGGCCACTTCTGCTTGGGAAATGCCGAGTTGAACATTGCGCCACACAGGGGAACAGGACTGGTCGGAAGGGGTGGCTTAGGTCACCACGGACCCACGACCCGCCAGTGGCTCCATCTCAGCCTTCCTTTGACGGACCTCTGGGGTAGCCAACACCACTAGTGCCTCTTCCTCAAGCCCGTCCTCTCTGGGTTTCCTCCTTTGCCCTGTTTTCACACCCTCCCTTCCTACCTGCTGTTAACACCAAGGCTTTGACAGCCCTGCCCCACCCACACCCACACCCACACCTGCGAGCCCCGCCCCTCCACCCACCCAGGCCCACACCTACACCTGCCCGCCCTGCCCACTCCTGCACCTGCCAACCCCACCTCTCCACCCACCCACGCCCACACCTGCACCTGCGAGCCCCGCCCCTCCACCTGCAGCTTCCATTGTGACCTTCATGCCTCCAGCTCACCTCTTCTGACATCACCGCTTGGACCTTTCAAGGGCACTTCAAATTGAGCATGTCCCCCAGAGCCCATCCCTGGCCAGTGTCCCCTGTGTTGGGAAGGGGACTGACTGCCCTGAACACCACCCGGCCATGGCTCACCCTGTCACCCTGGCTTCCTCCCGGCATCTCCAAAGCTCTTTCTGCCTCGGGGCCTTTTGCACAGGCCGCTTCCTCAGCCTTCCTGGCCCTTCACCTAATTAGTCAGATTCTAGCTCAACCACCTCCTCCTGAAGAGCTAGCTAGCACAGGCCCACCCCTTCCAAGCTGTACCTGTTCTTCCCCTCGGGGCACCCATCACAGTTTGTGATCCTGTACATGGGACAACCGCGGTAGCACCCACGTCCCCGACTGTAAGCAAGGGGTCCAGAGACCGCCCTGCCCCAGGCTCTGCAGCCACCTGCAGGCACTCGATACACCACAATCCATCTTCCAGTCCACTGGACCCTAGGCGGGCACGGCCAGGTGTCTGGGGAAGGTGAGGCGAGTGAGTCCTTGAGGAGGACAGCGCGTGTGGGAAACGTGGGGCGTCACCAGGCTTCGGGGCGTACGTGGTAACTCAGAGGGCCCGCAGGCCTCCTGGCTCTGACCACTGAACGTCCTTCACAGGAAGGAAAAAATAGTTCCACCTGGGTTAGAACCTGTAATGGATTTGGGACGGACAACCTCGTCTTTTCGGGGGACATACATTCCTGGGCAGGACCCACAGTTCCAGCAAGTCCTCCCATTCTGCCTCACGTTTTCAGGGAGGCCCCAGGGACCCCTGGACCCTCGACCCACCCCCCGACACGTGACTGATTGCACACAAGGAACCGCTGGCACCCCCAGGGACAGACGCCCGAGTGTGTGTGAGGGTTCCATGTCCCACGGGAGGGGGGGTAGGAGTATCTCAGAAGATCACGTCTCCTAACGCCACTGGAAAATCCAGTCCTCTCATTTATTCTTTATTAAGAGCTTTTAACTGGAAAGGCTCTCCCTGCCCAGAAACCCAGCCCACGCTCAGCCAGAACCGACAGCCCAGGTCCCACGTGCCTGCGCCCCCAGCCACGGCTGTGCAGAGCTGCCTGCCACGCCCCACGCTGACCGACTCACGCTCTCAGCCGTCCCTCCCAGGAGTCCTGGGGGACTGAGACTGCCTGGGGCCACAGGTGAGTGCAGGGTCTGCGCAGCCAGGGCAGGCTCTGCCCCCGTCTGAGCCTCTCGCGCAGTGGTTTGGGCCCAGGGCAGAGGAGGGGTACGGTCAGTTTCATTTAATTTGTGGGCTTGCTTTAGAGATCAGTAATTATTAAAACAGTGCCAGGGGCTTAATCCTGATGAATACATTCATGACCCTGTAATTTTGTTTTATTACTTTTTTTTTTTTTTTTTTAAAGAGGAGGAGGTCTTTCTCTGTTGCCCAGGCTGGAGTGCAGTGGTGTGATGATCACAGCTCACTGCAGCCTCAAACTCCTGGGCTCAGGGGATCCTCTCGCCTCGGCCTCCAGAGTAGCTGGGATGACAGGCATGCAACCACCATGCCTGGCTAATTTTAAAGTTTTTTGTAGAGATGGGGTCTCACTATATTGTCCAGGTTGGTCTTGAACTCCTGGCTTCAAGCAATCCCCCCCAAAGTGCTGGGATTACAGGTGTGAGCCACCACGCCTGGCCAATGACCCTGTAATCTTAAACATGACTTAGAAGGTATATCTGTGAAGAAAAGAGTTAATCTAGTTCAACATCCGCAGTAGAAACAGAATTAAAAGTCAATACCTTAATCTCTTCTAAATTAAAGTGCCACGATCGATTACATTCTTCAGTTTTATCAGGCCTTGAAATTCAAATTTAAAAAATAAAATAAGAAATATTAGTCTTGATGGGTGTGACTTCCATATGACATTAGAAAACACTTTCATTAAAGCCTACAAAGAATAAAAAGAGAAATCCTGGCTGGGATGCCCTTACCCCACGCAAGTCGTTTGAGAAGGAATGCCCAGAGACAAGCAGGCACTGTCTGAGTTTCTTTTGAGGAGGAAAGAAACTGTTAAAAGTGTCCAAGAACAATGCCACACAGATGGCTTTTAGTAACGAAGCCAAATAAATGGCCTCGTCTTGGAAGCTTCAAGGTCGGCCGTGGCTGGGGCTGCAACGGGGGCTCAGCAGCTTCCTGGAACGGTGATGCTGAGACTTCTTTCTTTCTTTTTTTTTTTTTTTTGAGACAGAGTCTCACTCTGTCATCCGGGCTAGAGTGAGTGCCGTGGCGTCAGCCTCGCTCACAGCAACCTCAGACTCCTGGGCTTAAGCAATCCTCCTGCCTCAGCCTCCCGAGTAGAGACTACAGGCATGTGCCACCATGCCCGGTTAATTTTTTCTATATATTTTTAGTTGGCCAATTAATCTCTTTCTATTTTTAGTAGAGACGGGGGTCTCCCTCTTGCTCGGGCTGGTTTCGAACTCCTGACCTTGAGTGATCTTCCCAGCTTGGCCTCCCAGAGAGCTAGGATGACAGGCGTGAGCCACCGCGCCCGGCGGATGCTGAGACTTCTAACCTCCCCGACCCTCTCCACGGACACAGCGAGACGGCAGCAGGTCTGCATCTCTCAGGGTGAGGAGCATGCAGTAAGGTGACGTACACAACTACCACGCTCAGCAAGCGCCGGCCACATGACATGAGATCAGCTGTGATTTTCATTTTACTTTTTTAGTCCCAAACACGCTGGCTCTCCCTACGTTTGAACTCCACCTCTGCGCTCACGTCTCATCCTGGACACACCAACCCTCTTTAGAAGCTGCCCTGTGCACGAGGTCACCAACCGACCTCCTGGGGCCCGGCCACCCCAGAGCCTCAGGAGGGCAGGGGGACAGCGTGTCTGCAGGGTGGACGGGCTGGCCCGGCGATCTAAAGCCGGCACCATTTCACCCCAGAGGACGGGAGAAAGCAGCATTGCAAACGCTCATCTCGGCCTCAGAAGCGAAGCACCAATCCGAGCAGAGACACAGACCCTGCATTTGTAGGCGACAGAGGAGAAGGCAGCGAGCAAAGGCCAGGGAAGCCGGGAGCCCCGGAACAGAAGTGCCAGGTGGCCCCAGAGCCTGCAGAGAAAGTGAAACCAGAAGCACCCAGGTCCTGGTGGGTTTCTGCCAACCCCTGTCCCTCAGGAGCGCGTAGGGGCCAGTTACAGCCAGACCGGCCCTTCCCCGATCTCCAGGACAGTGGGGCAAACGAACACGCACAGTGTAACACCACAAGTGTGTGCACAGATAAAAAAGAATTAACGACACAAAATGCAAGTAAAACCAGAAAAATGAATTTGCGTGTCTGTGAAGTGTGACTAATATAGATGTACACTATTTATTTTTATATGTGTTCATTTATAATAGACTCCAAAAGAAAAAACCGAGAAAATTAAAATTTAGTGAACCCAAAAATGTACCCAGGATACCTAAACACGTTTAAACTAAACTGTTACTATTCTATAAAAACAGAACTAAACAACAAGAAAATTAGAGCTATGTTAAAAAAGACTAAAAGTACTTTTAAATAGGGATTTGGTCTATTGAATAAACAAAAGTAACAAGCGTAAAGATAAAGACTAGACTCAAGCTAGAGCTCCGAGCCAGCCAGCTTCTTCTGACTGTTGAACTAAGTTCCAACCGCGTTCGATACTTGCCACAACCCGTGAATTGTCCAGTAGTTCGGGGGGTCTCTGCAGTCATTCTGCACCTCCTAGAGAGAGAGGACACAAAGAAAACACTTCGTTCATTGTTTATTAAGATACAGTGAGCAACCACACTTCTTTCAGCCTACATCAACAAGAGGCGGGCACAGCAGCGACACAAGGTCAACACAGTGTTCATTTACAATAAATTCATCCTAGTAGCACGTTCACAAGAAACTACGCTGGCCTTCTAGGCCCTTAGGTGCGGCCTTTTGACTGAATCCGAATTTTACAGAACACATCCTTTTATTAAAAAGGGTGCAGCAGAGAAAGATGAAGCTTTTCCTGCCTCCTTTGGAGCTCAAAAAAGAACAAATCTTGAAATCAGAAGGCCACAGCTTCCCCACCCCATCTGAGCTGATCCTCAATTTAATTAACAGAAATAAGCAGCTATTTTTGTGCTTTTTATGTGCTCACAAATTAAGTCAATCTGGTGGAAACTCTCCTATTTCCCAAGAATAATTTGATTACCATCTAATTTAAAGTAAACGTTTTAAGCACAAAAGGCTCACGATACCTGCTAAACTAAAGCCTGCTCAGGTACCAAGTCTAAATCCATTAGCGAAATAATACGTATTGCAAATACGGAGCCAAAAAAATAACAAGTAAGAACAGTAATACACCCTTAATCTCAATCATAAAAATAAAATCAAGGCCGGGCGCGGTGGCTCACGCCTGTAATCCTAGCTCTCTGGGAGGCCGAGGCGGGCGGATTGCTCAAGGTCAGGAGTTCGAAACCAGCCTGAGCAAGAGCGAGACTCCGTCTCTACTATAAATAGAAAGAAATTAATTGGCCAACTAATATATACAAAAAATTAGCTGGGCATGGTGGCGCATGCCTGTAGTCCCAGCTACTCGGGAGGCTGAGGCAGGAGGATTGCTTGAGCCCAGGAGTTTGAGGTTGCTGTGAGCTAGGCTGATGTCACGGCACTCACTCTAGCCTGGGCAACAAAGCGAGACTCTGTCTCAAAAATAAATAAATACATAATAAAATAAAATAAAATCAGAGAAATAAGTCTCAGTCTAAAACTTTTTGGGGACCTCCGCATTTCTGAGCTAAAACTGAGGTTTTCCACAATAAATCATCGAGAAATACTTTTGGACTGTCAGGCCGCAGGAAGCAAGACCCCTGCCCAGCCGCTGCAGTGAATAAGCAAATGGGCAGAAGTTCGAGCCCAGGGAGGAGCAGCAGAGGTGTCTGGCTGTCCCGCCCAGCCCTGGCTTCTCAATCCCTCCTGCTGTGGAGGCAGCTTCTCTCCAGGGCTGGGCTGGGAACCAGGGTCTGGTGCAGGTGAGAGCTGAGAGTGCAGGACAGGGTGACAGAGGTCGTAACTTCGCCTCTGCCCACAGCCCAGTCCCATCCCTAAGGAAACCCATCCAAAGCGGGCTAGTGTCCTGCAGGCATGTGGCCCATGAGCAAAGCCAGCGCCACGTGGGGGGCCGGCACACGCCTCCACCGGCACCTCAGTGGGAGTCGGCAGCACCCCTACCCCCTCCCAGTCCCAGGTGGCCTCTGAGGGGCGGCACCAGGCAAGGAGGACCTGGTGGACCCAGCACCTGTAACGGACACATCTCTTCCCAGGGAGGGGCCCAGGGACAGCCTCTGCTGCACAGGAGGAGCCTGGGTGAGACAATAGAGCCCTTCTCACAGCCACCCGGTTTGAAATAAATGCCCTGACCATGACATTGTGCTAGTCATTGATTAGGTTTAACCTCATTTGTGAAGCCTCGAGGCAGGAAGCACTGCCATGCATACTTATATCCAGCTCGCAGGGACACACCCGGGCTTTGCCAGGGAAATGCCTCCCTCCTGCAGAGCAGCCCTGAAGGCAGGTCCTCCAGTGCTCTAGTTTCCAGCCCTTCCTCCACACTCTGGTCCCCGGCAGGAACCAAGGCCTTTAGTCACTCCTCACTGCCAACAGCGGCGTGCCCACGAGATCCCAGGAGATCCCAGCAAACTAAAAGCCCGAGCCCTGCCCTGCGACTCCTCGCTACTCCCGCCCACTCCCCCACCCCGAAGCGAAGGAACAGCGCTACAACACGGAAAGAAAGCCTGTGAAACTGGAAGCGGATTGTTCTAACATAGTAAGACAGACCTGTTAGAAATGAGTGTCCAGATCAAAAGTGCAACTTGGTGAGGATGAGTGAAATTTCATTTTCATTTAACAGAAAAATAAATCAATAAGGAAGTAGAAGAGCCTATCATGCTGGTCAGTGCTTTAGGCAAAGCAAAGAGCCTGAGTGCTTCTTAAAGTACAGCAATAATCCAACGGCACAGCGATGACTGGCTATTTCCATCTTGCAGTAATTAAAAGGCCTCACAATTTAAAACTCTCAAGCCCAAGTTTCAGAAAGGCCGGGCACGGTGGCTCACGCCTGTCATCCTAGCACTCTGGAAGGCCCAGGCAAGAGGATTGCTCAAGGTCAGGAGTTCTAAACCAGCCTGGGCAAGAGCAAGACCCTGTCTCTACTAAAAATAGAAAGAAATTAACTGGACAACTAAAAATACATGGAAAAAATTATCCAGGCACAGTGGCGCAAGCCTGTAGTCCCAGCTACTCGAGAGGCTGAGGCAGGGGGATCGCTGGAACCCAGGAGTTGGAGGTTGCTGTGAGCGAGGCTGACGCCACGGCACTCACTGTAGCCCGGGCAACAGAGTGAGACTGTCTCAAAAATAAAGAGGTCAGTGAGGTCAGGGCTAGCTCAGCCATATGATGAAACACGTTAGGTCAGTTGTGCAATGAACACAGGATCAGCTTTGCAAGCAGCCGGCCCTGCGGGAGGCTGAGGCAGGGCCCCCCCAACCCCACCAGCTAGCCCTGCGGGAGGCTGAGGCAGGGCCCCCCCAAGCCCACCGGCTAGCCCTGCGGGAGGCTGAGGCAGGGCCCCCCCAACCCCACCGGCTAGCCCTGCGGGAGGCTGAGGCACGGCCCCCAGCTAGCCCTGCGGGAGGCTGAGGCAGGCCCCCGGCTGACAGTGCCCAGCAGGAAATGCCCAGGCACTGACACCCTACAAGGACAGCGACACACAGCAAGACAGAGCCACAGACAGAGCAAGGGCAACCCGGCGGGGAGGAGGGTGTCATCGGTGACAAGCAGAGCAAAGGAGGCAAGGAATGGTCTACAGCTCCTTTCCACTCATGGAAGACTTTTTTATGATTATTTTCCTTAGAAACGGGGTCTCACTACATTGCCCAGGCTGGACTGGAACTCCCAGGCCCAAGCAATCCTCCTGCCTCTGCCTCCCAAGTAGCTGGGACTACAAGTGCCCGCCATGTGCCCGGCTGACATTCCAATAAGACTTCAATAACACAGAGGGGAGAGACAAGCTGAAGCCTGTTGTAGATTGAACTGTGTCCCCCAAATAGATACCTAACCCCCATAACTGTGAGTGTGACCTCACTTGGAAATGGGGTCGTCGTTGATGTAATCGAGCGAGGATGAGGTCCTGCTAGATTAGGGTGGGCCCTAGATCCAGTCACAGTGTCCTGATAAGGAGGGCCAGAGAGACTCAAAGTGGAGAACGCCAGGTGAGGGAGGCGGCAGAAGTTGGGGTGAAGCCCCTGTAAGCCTGGGAGCGCCAAGGGTTGATGGTCTCCACTGGACGCTAAGAGAGAAGCAGCACACAACAAACTCTCCCTCGGAACCCTGCAGAAGGAATCACCCCTGCTGAGGCCTTTCAGGCTTCCAGCCTGCAGAACTCTGAGCGAATACGTTTCTGATGCCCCAAGCCACCCAGTTTGGGGTACTCTGTCACAGTGGCCCTAGGACATGGGCACGTGGCCCTCCTGCAGGCACAGCTCCGGCCTCCACCCCCAGCAGGGCAAGGACCCTGGCCGGCGGTCCCAGCAGCCAGCGGCACCCGAGGAGGGCACACACACACACGCAAACCGACTCTGCTCGGGGTTCACTGGCCCCAAGTGGCCGGGTAAGGCAGAATAACTCACCTCGCACACTGTCTCCGGCCAGTGTTGAACCAGAATTAGTTTTTTCCACTCATGGATGCCACTGTTAAAAAGACAAGAAATTTATTTTTCAAGAACTTTTTTAAAGTTATAGAAAAAAATTAATTAACTCCCCCTTCCATCCACCCGTCCATCCAACATGGAGCACCTCGGGGGCACTGGCACGACCAAAGCCCCTACCCAGGGGAAGGGCACACTCCAGCGAGGAAGGCTGCAGACCCCATAGCTAAACACACACACACGGTGTCCAGGAATAGAAACACCGGAGCACGAGGACAGGTAAGGCGCGGGTGCAGGCGGGATGCAGCAGGGAGGCCTCCCCAGAGGCGAGTCATGGGGCCAAAGCGTGTTCTCTAAGCACACTCCACAGAAACACAGAGCCAGGACCCTTGAACCCCGTTTGTGAAACCCAACAGGCCCTGAGCACTGGGAAGGTTTTGTGATTCATTCGGCAACAAGACATGAGCTGAACTAGCACAAGGCTGTTTGTTGTCACTACGCCACTCGGTAGGTAGATCCACCTGCTTCTACGCAGAATTGGTTCCTTTGATTGGAGGGTGCTACTTCCAGAGCCACTAGGACTGTCATCTCGAGCACGGTATGTGCGCCATGCTGCATCGCGCTACCTAGAACACACATGTGTGCGACACTGTACCCCAAATCTGAAATCTGAAACTCATCTGAATGTAGGACTTCACAGAAGGGAGTTCGGGGCTGCAGTTCACCCACTCAGAACTCTAGGAGGCCGCTAACCACACTTGCAAGGCTTAACATACAAAGGGAGTAAAAGCAGAAAGTGCAGGTGGCACTTTCGTTTCCATTTCCCATCATGGAAAAAGTCAGCAGCAACACAGGAACCTATTAATAACTCAAGCTGATGCTTAATTTGGGATAAAGTTTTAAATTTTAAAAGGGAAGATTCAAAGTAAACGAGACCAAGTTGTTACACATTAGCTTTTGTAATAATTGAATGTATAGAACTCACAATTAAGACGCTTGTAAGTCTGAACTAATGATGCGAGCTCTCCGTAAAAAGGAGAAAAAGAGACCACCTACAGCAGGAGAATCAGAGCTGGGAGAAGCACCAGGGGCTTTTTTCTCCACTGGGTGCAAAACCCTTATTTTACACGGGTGGAAACAGGATGGAAGGTTAAGCAACATCCAGGGAGACTAGACTATCAACCCCCAAGCTCAGAACACCTGAATCAAAATCTCCATCGACCACCCAAGCAAAAGAGTGAGGTGAGGGTTAAGAGAACGTCCCCACCCTCCCCTACGTGAGCACAAAGCCACCGGGGAGGTGAAAGCCACACAGATACACTAAGGCAGAGGACAAACTAAAAATCACCACGTTTTCAAACCCAGTAGGGACTTGGTGAAGAAAATGCCAGCTGACCTGCCTGGCCCTCGTGGTCTGAACCAGCTAAGTTTTCCCAAACACGCCTGCTCACGGGGTTTTCCTATTATATCGGGGCTTGAATGATGGGGGGCTGGGGGTAACGCACGGTACAGCCCAAAGCCTTCAGCTGGCGCTCATTGATTACTATTGGCCAGGCACCACTCCAAGCACAGTCTGCACCTTAACTGATTTCCCCGGACACCAACTCTGTGAGGCAGGCGTCATTATTTCTATTAATTCTTTACAGAGGAGCAAACTGCAGCACAGGCAGCTCGGGGAGGCCCCACATCCGGATGTGAACTGGCAGCTGCCCCTCAGCCCGCACAGCGTGCCACCTCTCCAGCGAGACTCTCTCGCCTCCTGGCCAACAAACAGGTAAACAAATGGAGCTTTTGCATAAAATACACTTTCTGGGGACACTGCAATAATACTACCTCTTAAAGTATAAGATAAAAACAGCAATGGGACTTAATTAAAAAGTAAAACACACCTACTGTGTGAGTATGGCATCCTTCATTAACCTGATCATTACCCCCAAATTAAAATTTGGTATTCAAACCCCGCGTCCTCCGCAGAATTAAGGTTGGAATTCTCTCCGCAACGCTGCCTGTTCCCGCCCCAGCACCCGCCAGGCCGGGGGCGACGGAAAGAAGGAAAGAGAGGAAGGGGAGGGCGGGGAGCCTCAGGGACACAGAGGAAGTAGCTGAAACAGGAAGCACAGCTACTAAAACACAGAGAAGACTTAAAACAAAACCTCCCTCCACGGCCTCCGGGAGACCGGCCAGAGCAGGAACCCCGCTGTGCCCCGCCCGGGCTGGTGCCCTCCGCAGGCGCCCGTCTCGGGCTGCAGCCCGGAGTGCAGGGGGCGTGCTCGGCCCCGCCCCACCGCTCCTACCCGGGGTCTCCCCAGGTGTGCACGGTCCCCCACCACCGCTCCTACCCGGGGTCCCCCCAGGTGTGCACGGTCCCACACCACCGCTCCTACCCGGGGTCCCCCCAGGTGTGCACGGTCCCACACCACCGCTCCTACCCGGGGTCCCCCCAGGTGTGCACGGTCCCACACCACCGCTCCTACCCGGTGTCCCCCCAGGTGTACACGGTCCCACGCCACCGCTCCTACCCGCCCCCACCCCCCGCTGTGCCCGGCCCAGGGCGCTGCACCACCCCTGCGGAAACCTGGGCGTGCTCACACCGGCCTCCGGCTTTAACTCACCTCAAGAGCTTATCTGCAGCGCACAGGTAACCGAGGGCCAGGCAGAGGCAGCCCAGCAGGGCGCCGCGCACCGCCACGGGCCCCATGGCGCGAGCCCTGCGGGGAGGAGACACCGCCGTCGGCCCCGGCCCGAGCGCAGCCTCGCCCGCCGCGTCCCGCCGAGCCCCGCGCCTGCGCCGACCCCACTGCCACCCGCCGCTCCGCAGCCCGCGGCCCAGGCCAGAGCATTTCCGCTCCGCCCGGGGTGCCGGGAGGACTAGCCTGGCCGGGGACACGCCCCCGATGTGCGGCCACGCCCCCGAGCAGGCGGACAGGCCCCCTCTGCATGGCAGACACGCCCCCGAGCCGGCGGACACGCCCCCTCTGCATGGCAGACACGCCCCCGCCCCGCTGGCCGGAGTGGACCGGCTGGAGCCCGCGGCTCAGAGCACCTGCGCGCGCGTCGGCTGGGCCGGCCCGGTTCCGAGGCCGCACGGGCACCCCACGCTGTTCGACGCCGTGTGCCGCTCGCCCACTCCCGGGTCTGACCCGCCCGGGCCATTGGTGTCAGCGGGGACATTGGTGTCAGCGCCACCACCCGCCGGGACACACTTTCGGGTCTCCCCAAGGGTTTTCAGTGAGCACGGAAGTCCCAGCGCGGCCCGGCCCTGCCCAGCCCTGGGCCTCACCTCCTCCTCTCGGGGCCAGGGCTCGGGGACAGGTGGGGGCGTGTGCCTGCGGGCCAGATGCCAGCCCCCCTCCCCGCGTGGCTGGTCCCCGCGGGGCGCTGGCCCTCCGGTCCCGCAAGGGTGCCCCACCTGCCGCGGAGCTGCTGCACGCACCGCCGTCGCCCACCGCGCCCCGCCCACACCTGGTCCACAGCCGTTCGCATTTGCAGTTTGGGGGGAACTGTGGCTTCCTCCCCCCACCCCACCCCGTGGGTGTCTAACACCAGGTGGGCCTGGGACCCGCTCTCCCCGGGCCGGGCGCGGCGCCAGTTCACCACCGTTTGAAATCGTCCCTCTGGTGCCAGGCCCGTGCCAGTCTGACCACCGCCGAGCCCCACCGCCCGGCGCAGTGCAGGGCTCACAGTGGCGCGCGATCGAAAGCCACCTGCGCCGCGGAGGGGCTGGCTGGCTGGGCGCCCTGCTCGCGCGTCCTCAGTAGGCCGGGGCGCCTCTGCGACTCCCCCTCGCTGTGGCCCCTTGAACTCCTTTCTCCAAGTGACACTGGCACAGCCTGTGTGCACTTCTGTCCTCTCCTTCTCTTTTCTTTTAGGCTGAAAATATCCACTTTTAGAAACAAAAATACTTCCCAGAATCTTACTTTGCCCTCAAACCACAGTCCCATCTGTTTCAATTTCTCCTCCTCCAAGGGGCCTGTTTGGGCCACTAGGAGGAAGGGCTGTGGGAGGGGGAGAGAGGGGCACCGCAGGGCTGGCGGGGACTGGGGTGGACCAGCGCAGCGGGGAGAGCGCTCTGACCAGGAGGCCTAAGGTCTCAGGCCTTAGGCAAAGGGGGCTTTTACACAGAGCAGTGAGCAAGGCAGAAAGAAGTGGGTGTGCAGAAGTGGGATGGAAATTTGCCCTTACAGAGGGAGGCCGGAGAGGATTCACCCTGCGCGTTGGGCTGGCTCAGCCTGGCTCTGCAGCTGGGGAGGAGAACTTAAGCCTGGTTCTCACGCCATCAGTGGACAGAAGTTCAGCTCATCACAAACTGGGAGTGAAAACAGAGGATTCGGAGGAGGGTCTGTGTCTGGCCTGGCCCACGCACGACCCTTATCTAAGTCACATGGGGAAGGAGGTCCCTCCCAGGGAGCCGTTCCCCAGGACCCAAACAGTGAGGGGATTTTTTTAGCCTTTGCTGCCTCCCGCTCAGATACAATTCTGCAGTGTCTACACCCAGCCTAAAGGGGCCTCCCAGTTACTTCCTGTTGCCATGATCTTATTTTCAGCACAGCTCTTGCCACCCCCTGGAGCTTCATGTCATCTCTTCCTGTACTGCCCCACCCCCACCCCCTGCAAGCGCATTCCAGAGGGCGCCAGTGAGGCCCTCTGGGGCCCTCAGGTGTGCTGGCCCTTCCCAGACCGGCGCCTGATTCTGTATTCGTGATTTTGCATTCCTGTTCTTAGAAGAGGGACGTCCAGATCACACAAGCTTTCAACACCCCAGCACCTGGATGTGAACGTGGGATGGCCGTCATCTGTCTAGTTCAGTACTGACCCCCTAGAGAGACCCTAGACAGAGCCCCATGCGTGCGGGGTGAGTGCTCAGTGAGTGTCAGCGTGGGAAAGGAGAAGGAAAGGACACGGAAGCAGGTGCTGGGGCAGAGGCGGAACAAAGGCTCTGGAAGCCAGCCAGCTTCGTGGGAAGGAAGGAAGAGGTCTCCAGCATCAAGCAGGCGGCAGGAGAGGGGGTAGAAATTTTATTGGCCTTCACAACACAGTGTAAAAGGTGCCAACAATGAGGTCTAAAGGATGGTGTCCGCGTGTGTAGAGGCATGTCCTCAGGGAGGGGGCTGGGAGGGCGGGATGGCAACAGCCACTACTATGAACAGACACCCTTAAATCAGCCTGTATGGCTCAGCGACCAAGATACTATTGCTACACACCCTCTCCTTGGTGTTGACTCCTGCTGCTGCCCCAGTCCCCCGTCTGCTTCTGCCGGGTTAGGCTGCAATGACACACAGCCCCCAAATCTCAGTGGCTCACGACAACAGAGGTTTATCATTTATCTTTGGGTCCTTTTCACTCTGGAAAGCAGGCTGCAGAAACTGCCCCGATCCGGTACCGGCCATTCTACCAGCAGAGCAATGGCAGAAGCAGATGGTCACTCTGAACACGTTGGTTCTGACGTTTGGTCTTTGGCTGAAATTCTTTTGACCCACACAAGTGGCGTGGCCAAGCCTGCCATCGAGGGAGTGGAAGTGTACCCTTCCTGCGGGTGGGGGCGTGGCAGTCTTCATGGCAAAGGAGGGGCTCTGCAGGGAGCAGCAGCAGGAGAATATAACCTACCCTAACCGAGGAGGCGGAAAGAACTTTAAAAAATCAAGTGAAAAGACGGAGGGTGAGAAGGCATAGACCACACACGTGTGTCGTCGAGGAGCCGCCAACTGTCAGCCCGGCTCTGTGCTTCCCCTCCCGGGGAACATCTAGCTGGATAGACTCACAGGAAACACAGGAGAAGCACGAACTTGACTGCAAAGCTGTCGTGTGGGCGAGCAACATCTTTTGGTGGGGAATTTTTCAGACGCAAACTAATAAACAAGAGCACTCGGTTGTAGAACAGTGGAGCGCGCCGAATGTCAGAGTGCGCGGTGTGGGAATGCGCCGTCCCTCCTCCGAGTCTGCACGTGCTCCTGGGAAAACAGACTGTGGGCACTTTGGCGAGAGCGGCCAGCAAGAGCCTGGGAAGGGCTCCTGCTATTTCGTTAGGTTCAAAACTCACATTTACCGAGCGCCTTCCGAGCGGAACACCTTGCGCCAGGCCGAGGAGGAGGCTCGAGGTGAGCAAGACGACCTTCCCAAACCAGGAGGCCTCAGGGCCCAAAGGCTCTTGTCCTCCGAGACCCGGGTTGCCAAGGGCGAGAAGAGGCCTGAGAGCCTGCGGCTTTTCTCCCCTGGGCCTGGGGAGGGCCAGAGCGCCCCGTGGGCCACAGCAGGTCCTGGGAAGGTGGCGTGTCCGGCTGAACTCCAGATTCTCCCTCAGCCTACTCAGGAGGCTGAGGCAGGAGGATCACTTGAGCCCAGGAGTTTGCTGTGAGCGAGGCTGACGCCACGGCACTCACTCTAGCCTGGGCAACAAAGC